ACATCATATGTACTGAAACCGTTTGGAAGCTATCAATTATTATATAAACATTTTATGCTACCAGATATAGTTGAATTCTTTTCACTCATGGAATCCTTGAGTGTGGCAGAAAAGAGCTGTGCTCTATTGGGTTTTTAGGACCTTTTGCTTTTTTCATGGATGATATTCTTGATATCATCCCACAGCTCACCTGGTCTTCATTCATTAGTTTTCAATGCATCAAACCTGTTTTTGAGATGGTTTTTAAATTCAGGTGGGATAGACTCAAGGTTATATTTTGGCTTTTGTGTATTTCTTTTCATTTTCTTTAGCTTCAATTTGAACATGCACATGAGTAATTGATGGTCTGGTCCACAGTCAGCACCTGGCCTGGTTTACAAAACATCATTACAAAGACAGAGGAGGAAGAAAAGACCAAGGTGGATGTCAGAAGAGACTCTGAATATTGTATTAGGATGCCAAGAAGCCAAAGAAAAGGGAAGAAATGAAGTTAAAAAGAGTTGAATAGGATATTTCAAAGATCAGCTTATGAAGACAAGCAACGTATTATAATGAAAAGTGCAAAAGGCTGGAGCCAGAAAATCAAATAAGAAGACCCCTCACCACTTCTCAAGCTGAAGGAACCGAAGAACAAATTCAAGCTGTGAGTTGTAATACTTAAAGATGCTATAGATAAGACTATTGAATGATGCAGGAAGTATCAAAGGAGATGGAAGGAGTACACAGTCACTGTACCAAAAAGAACTGGCTGACACAGAACCATTTCAAGAAGTAGTAGGTAATCAAGAACCAATGATAATAAAGGAAGAACTTGAAGTGGCTCTGAAGAAATTGGTTAAAAAAAAAAAAGGCCCAGGAACTGATGGAATACCAATTGACATATTTTATCAAACAGATGCAGTCCTGGATGTGCTCACCAGGTTGTGCCGAGAAATCTGGTGGACAGCTACTTGGCCAATTAACTGGAAAAGATCCACATTATTCTCATTCCTGAAAAAAGGTCATCCAACAGAAAGTAGAAGTTAATGAACGATATCACATGCAAGTAAAATCTTGTTGAAGCATGTAAAAAACCTACTAGAATAGTAAGTACATCACAGAGAACTGCCAGAAATACAAGCTGGGTTTAGAAGAGGCTGTGGATCAAGGCTGAAAGTAGAGGGTACCAGAGAGATGTCTCTCTGGTGTGTGTGTGTTTTTGGTGTTTTTAAAGTGGTCTTATTTTTATAATCCCTTAAATCCATTATCCAATGGAGATGTTTTGCTCTTCACTTTCTGCCAAAGATGCACCAAAGAGGGTTGAGGGTGACTCTTGGTCAACTCCGCTTGGTCCAGTCCTGGGTTTCACGCTGTTTCTCTGGTGTTTTATGAACTATGCAAAGGCCTTTGACTATGTAGATCATAACAAATTGTGGCTAATATTGAAAAAAAAATGGAAATCCCAGAACACTTGATTGTGCTCATGTGAAACTTACACCTAGACCAAGATGCTGTTGTTTAAACAGAGCAAGGGAACATTACGTAGTTCAAAATCAAGAAAGAAATGCATCAAGGACATGTCCTTTCTCCACTCATTTTCAATTTATATGCTGAACTGATCATATGGGAGGCTGGATTTCCTGAAGAAGGTAGCATCAGGATTGGAGGAAGACTCATCAATAACCTGCACTATGCAGATAACACAACCTTGCTCTCCAGAACTGAGGACTTGATATATTTGCTACAGAAGATCTAGGACTGCAGTCTTCAGTATTGACTACATCATAACGTCAAGAAAGTAAAGGTCCTCACAGGGCCAATAGACAGTATCATGTTAAATGGAAAAAAGATTGGGGTTGTTAACAATTTCACCTTGCTTGGACCCACAGTCAACATTCTTGGCAATGGTAGTAAGGAAATCAAAGGAAAATTTCACTGTGAAAATCTCCTGTCAAAAATCTCTCTAGAGTGCTAAGGAGCAATGATGTCAGTCTAAAGACCAAGGAGTACCTCATCCAGACCATGGTCTTCTCAATTGTTTGCTGTGCATCTGAGAGCTATACAAGGAATAAGAATGACAGAAGAATGCACACTCGTTTATTGTGGCTTTGTTCACAATAGCAAGGAGTTGGAAACAACCTAAGTGCCCATCAACACATGAATGGATAGAGAAACTGTGGTATATTCACACAATGGAATACTATGCTGCATTGAAAAACAAGGAACTCATGCAATATTATTCAAAATGGGTGACCCTGGAGGACATTATGCTGAGTAAAGTATCTCAGTCATTAAAGGACAAATACTGCATGGTGCCACTGTTGTAAAACAGGACTGACATCGGGGTTGGGGAGAGAATGAGAAAGATGGGTTCAGTAATGTATACTGCATTGAAACAGATAAGGGAGAAAACTGTTTAAAAGGGATATGTGATTAGGTATTTTTGTCATGACAGGAGTCCAGAGCGAAGGCTGCATAGTGGAGTAGACCTGGGAGAGGGTTTGTAAAACAACGAAAGAATTTTTCTTTTACTTTTCCAAGAGGGTAGTGTACTAAGGGGTAGGGTTGGGAGGGGGAAAAGTGCAACAATGAATGAATGCAAACCCAAAGTCTTGTAAATTTTCATTGAAATTAATAATAAATTAAAAAAAAAAGAATGACAGAAGAATTGATGTGTTTGAATTGTGGTGCTGGAGAAGAGTATTGAGCATATCACAGACTACCAAGAAAACAAACAGGTCTATCTTAGAGAGGGTAAAACCAATTTGCTTCTCGTAGGCAAGGATTTTGAAGCTATATCTCACATACTTTGGGCACATTGCCAGGAGGGACCAATCCTTCCAGATGGACATCAGTGAAAGGGTAGAGGTAAGTGCAGAAGACAAGAACCCTGGATGAGATGGATTGACACAGTTACCATGGCAGTGGGCCCAGGTGTGTAAGAAACAGTGAAGTTGGCTCAGGATAAGGCAGGGTTCAGGGCCATTGTTCACAGGGTCTCTATGAATCTTAGTAGACTCAAGGGCACATAACAACAACAACAATTGGAGTTTAAAGATGGTTGATGTTACTGGAACTAACTCACTAGGCCTTTCTTCAAGGATGTGAACTAAAAGCTCCAACCATCCAATGAGCAGCTGAGCAAGTTAAGCATTTGCACAACCCAAAGTCTCCAAATCAACCAAAAATGTTGCCTAGGAGGAGTAGTCCAAGGTTTGGAGTCAAAACAACCCTTAGTTCAAATTCCAGTTCCAGAACTAACTGGCTGTGTATTTTTAGGCAAATTAATCACTGTGAACTTCATTTTCTCCACCTTTAAAATGTGGATAATAATACCCAATGATATCAAGTTGTTGTGATGACAGATTTAGCAGATAAATGTATAATGCCTTCTTCTGTAATGCATTCGTACATAAAAAAGGTGTATTTGTAAAAACTACTGTTAGTATATTCATATTGCACAACAGATATTTCAATCAGAACATTAAAGCATCCACCGATCTTGAAAATGACTATGTCCTTTGTTTTGATCAAATGTCATTTATTAGAAAATACAATTCCAGAGAAAGTAGGAGACACAAGGGAAGACTGGGAAGTGGGTACAGTACACAGACCTCTTTAAGTCAGTGCATAAAGGGTCAAAATAAAATGAGTTAACAGGCAAAAAGCCAGTAACACATCTATGGTCCATTCATTTGGAAAAGTCCCACTCAAGTTCCTCACTCCCCAAAGCCCTCACCACAGCAGCCTGCATTATTCTTGGCATTTGTAACTTAAAAGAAAAACTGAAACTCCCTTGCTGCACTGTGGCTTCAATGAATGGAGCGTCTTTCTCCAGTTATGGAATGAGTCAGCAAAAAGGGGGAGTTCCTGCTCCTTGGAGTTGGGGAGGAATATGGTAGGTCCATTCAGGTGAGAACTCACAAGAAAGCACCCCCGTCATTCCTTTCCCTTTTACAGGGCACAGCAGGCTGGCAGTGACTGGGGGGGGGGGCGGCGGTGAAGGTTAATATCAAATCTAAAGTCTCTCCCTCTTTTGTAAGGAAGACAACCCTTTGGAGTGAAGTTAATATCTGTCTGGTAGGGAATAAAGATGATGAAGAGATTAGAGACCTCTGTCTCTCAGCTACAGGGAAACAGTACTGCTCCAGCCCAATCTCCTCATGACCAAAACTAGTCATTGGAAAGAAAAAAGGGATGAATCTCCCACCTCATGCCGTGTCTTCTAGTTAGGGCTTCCCTTTGGCTCCAGGTTAATTTGGTGTATGGCCCCAAAGAAGGTGGAGAATTCTTAGTAACAAATTTGACAGGAACGGGGATAGGGAAGAAGTACAAAAGAAACAAGTGGAAGGTGACAGGGAATGCTTCCCAGGAGCTGCCTAGCAGGCAGCCATGTTGGCATCTATGGTCTAGAGGCCCCTTCCCAGGGCCAACTAAACCTAAGGGCCCCAAAAGATGTTATCCCAGGAGAGAAAAATTAAGGGCAAGACTAGGGGGGAGCACCCCCAGCGTATTCATAGGGACCAGGTGGCCCCCAGAAGGGCCAAGAGAATGGGAGGGGCCATGGGGTTACAGGACAGGATTCAGGGCAAATCCTAACAAAGTTGGGGAGCATGAGAGGTAAAACTCCCCCTATAAAAGCACGGGTCCCTGAATACAGGTCCTTGGCAGAACCCCAATACGAAGGCCCTTCCTTATACACATAGGGTTCACGGCGCTCTCCTTTGGAGGCAAAATCTGAAAAGCCCAGGCGCAGGGCTCAGCCCCACCCTCCCCTGCCTGCCTTCAAAGAGGGAGGCCTCTCAGTGAGGACCCGCTGGGGCCCTCCCCAAATAATTCCTATAGATAGAAAAAACGAAACAAACAAAGCTAGGGAAACGTCCAATAAGAACCTTAATCATACAAAAGTCCTAACAGTCTTTCTCTGTCGCCTTCTGAGGCACATCTGCACATCCCTTCTCGCGAGGCTTCCTGTCCAGTTAGGACAACATTACCATTTCATTTTTTAAAATAAAAATAAAGATATCCACCCACCCTCCCTCAAAATGCTACTACTTCATACAACCCGCCCCTGACACACACCCAACCAGGCATTGCTCCCTTGACACAAGGTAAACTTAAAACTTTGCTGCAACTTCACAGCCTCCAAGGGGCTGAGCATCACTACGCGCCTCCGCTCAGGCTGTGAGGGGACCGGCCAGGTGAGGGCACCTTCCTCTCCCCATCTCCGTGGTGGAGGGCGGATGCACCTGGACAGAGAGGAGGCCCACCAAGGGCCTAGCCCCTTCTCGAGGAAAGGAAGCGTCACACAGGGGAGACTCCCCTGCCCCAGCTCCTGCCACCACCCAGGAGTCCCTGGCCGTGGTTCTGCTGGTTTCACAAGGTCCCATGAGTCCGAGATCCTAGCGCGAACCAGCCCGTCTTCTCCTGGGCCAGGTCCAGCTCCCGCAGGCGGATGTGCACCTCCCCAAGGAGGACATTCTCCCAAAATCCTTGCTCACTCAGCACGCTCAGCTGCAGCTCCCGCTGCTGCAGATCCCCCTTGGGAATGCCATCGTACACCAACTGTGAGGAGAAAAGGAAGTGGTGAGGGAAGAACTCAAGTAAGAGAGAGCTGTTTACATCTGGTGGTTTAATCTGGCTGTAGCTAAGGGTACACGCCTCTAAACAAAGCCAAGAGCAACGAGGTATAATACAGAACTCAGCCTTGTTCTCTGCTAAGAGTTCAAGCAGCTGAGGGCTTTTATTGAGGCTCTAGGGTTTACAGAGCCCTAGTGGCCTAGTGGTAAAAAGATGAACTGCAATCCAGAAGGCACGTGGTTCAAATCCACCAGTTGCTCTGCGGAAGAAAGATAGGTAGTCTCCTCCCAAACAATTAACTACCTCTGAAAACCCTTCGGAGAGTCAGCTATGAGTCTGACCCATATAACAACAGCTGAAGGTCAGCTTGGAACTAGCAGGAAGCCCACCTCACCCCACCCCCACTCACAGGACAGGACTCAGGCCATGCCCCAGCTGTGGAATCTACCCGAGGGCCCTCAAACTTTTTCTGCCAAGGGCCAGATAGTTAAGTACTTAAGCTTTGAAGGTCACATGGTTTCTGTTACAACTACTCAGTTCTGGTTACAACATGAAAGCACTCCCAGGCATACATCACTAGTATAGATGTCTTCCAGTAAAACTTGTCACAAAACCAGGCATAGTACGCTGACTCTTGCCTCCCTCCCCTCAGTGACCTCCACACACACCATTTCATTGTAGGTGGGGTTGCAAGTTTTGCGGGCCACTTTGGTTTTCCTCTTGGTGGTTTTCTGAGGGTCTGGCAGAAGATAAATCTTCACATAGGGATCAGGGTCATTCCCATCCTGGAGAAGTTGCTACAAAGGAATAAAAATAAAAGGTAAAGACACCATTACCGCTCCCATGATCACACCTGGGTATGAACTTATCTTCCAGACCTGATTTCTGTAATACATATTTGAACTTGCTGGCCTGTGTCCCATCTCATCCACTCTGATGAAGAAATCTAGCACAAGAAAAGACCAAAAAGGACATCAGAAGAGAATTTGAAAATTACACTACAACTTAGAGAAGCTAAAACAAAAGTAAGAAATACTAAGTAAAAGAGAACAAAAAGATCGAACAAAATTATTTCAAAAGGCAGCTCAAGAAGACAAAGCATAGGATTATAATGGAATATGTAGAGCTGGAGTTAGAAAATCAAAAGGGAAGGACATGTTCAGAATTTCTCAAGTTGAAAGAACTGAAAAACAAATTCAAGGCTCAAACTGTAATACTGAAAGATTTTGTGGGCAAAATCTTGAATGATGCAGGGACCATTGAAAGAGGATGGAAGGGATACCCAAAAGTCATTGTACCAGAAAGAACTGGTAAACCATTTCAGGAGGAAGCATATAATAAAAAAACCAATGGTAACCAAAGAAGACGCTCAAGCTGCACTGAAGGTACTGGCAAAAGAATTAAGATCCCAGAAATTGATTGGGTATCAACTGACATGTTTCAATAAGCAGATGCAGCCCTAGTGCTCAGCAATCTGCACCAGGAAATTTGGAAGACAACTACATGGCAACTGATTGGAAGAGATTCATATTTGTTCCCATTCCCAGGGAAGGTGATCCAACAGAATGTGGAAATTATCTAACAATAGTATTCATATCACATGCAAGTAAGATCTTGCTAAAGATCATTAGAAAATGTCTAGAACAGGACATCAACAGAACTGTTAGAAGTTCAAACTGGATTTAGAAGAGGCATAGCACCAGGGAGATAGTGTCAGAAGGCTCTTGGCTCAAAGTAGAGAATGTCAGAATATCTATTTGTGGTTTATTTTATTATGCAAAAGCATTTGACTGTGTGGATTATAATAAATTATGGCTAATATTGAAAAGAATGGGAATCCCAGGATACTTAAAGCAAGGTTTAAAAACAGGATAGGTGTGCATCAGGATTGTATCCTTTCTCCATACATAGTCAATCTGTATGCTGAACAAATCACTTGGGAAGCTGGACTCTGTGAAGAAGAATGTGCCATGAGGGTTGGAGGAAGATCTATCAACAACCTGAATTATGCAGATGACACAAACTTGCTTGCTGACAGTGAAGAGGATTTGAAGTACTAGTTGCAGAAGATCAAAGGCTGCAGCCTTCAATATGGATACATCTCAACATTAAGAAAACAAAATTCCTCACCACTGGACCAACAGGCAAGAACAGTATGATAGATGGAGAAAAGACTGATATTATCAATTATTTCATTTTACTTGGATACATAATCTACACCCATATTAACATCAGTCAAGAAATCAAAAGATGTGTTGCATTGGAAAAAGTCTGCTGTCAAGGACCTCTCTAGAGTGCTAAGGAGCAAGGATGTTAGTTTAAAGCCTAAGTGTGCCTGGTCCACGCCATGGCCTTTTCAATTCCTATGCATCTGAAATCTGAACAGTGAATAAGGATGATAGACGAAAAACCAAGACTTTTGAGTTGTGGTGTTGGGAAGAGTACTGAATATCGCATGGACTGCCAAAAGAATAAACAGGGCCATTTTGGATGAAGGGACGTCATGCTTGGGACAGTAGAAGGACAGCGCAGGGGAGGAAGACCCTGGATGAGATGGATTGACTCAGTGACTGGGGTAATGGGGGAAGGCGTGTTGGAGATGATGCGGTTGGCTCACCATAGAGCAGGGTTCAGAGCAGTTTTACATAGGGTAGTGATGAGTCACAAGTGACTCAAAAGCGCATAACAACTACATCCCACATGGAAGATGAAAATCCTACCACTGCCTCCTCTTAACCCCTAAGAGCTGAAGACATGAGCCAGAGACTGAATTGCTCGTACAAGGCAGCTAAACAATAAGTGATTTACCTTGCATGATCATTTTGTTTTTTAATTGCTTGATCCTTTAAAATTTAAACCAGATTATGTCAGACCTCTGCTCAAAAGCTCTCAATGTCTCTCATCTCATTCACAGGAAAAGCCAGAACCTTGCTTGGGGTCCCGCCAGCTCTAACCTGCTGTGCCCTCTGCAGAATCTCCCACTGCTCTCCCTTCTGCCCCATCAGCTGCAGCCACTCGACTCAGGGCAGGCTCCGGGTTCAGGACTTTGGATTTATTCATTTGTTTTTCTTGCTCCCATTTTCTCTCAAGACAATGCTGCGTGGCTCTCTCCTTCAACTCCTTCCTACCTCTGCTAAAGTATCTCCCCATTAATGAAGACTTCCCTGATGATTCCACACAAAACTGCCACTCTTTCACTCCTCCTCTGCCCCACACAGCTCGAATCACCAGCCGTCATGCCATCTCTTACTCGCTTAACTGCCTCTTTCACTTGGTAACGGTAATGAACCACGAACCAGAAAGCCGTGCTCCACCAGTGAGCTATATCTCCAGACCCATTAACTGCCTCTTTCAACTACAATGTAGGCTCCCTGAGGGCAAGGATTTTGTTTTGCTTACAGCTGTTTCCACAGCTTATATATCAGTGTCACTCGCAGCGAGCCTTCACTGGGTTTCCAACACTGTAAATCTTTACAATAGGGATGCCCATCTTCCTCCTGCAGAAGACCTGGCAGAATCAAACTATCCCCAATGTCACAGACCTGGCACCAGGTACTGTGTTAAATGATTTCCCTGCATTATCTCATTTAATCTCCCTAACAACTCTTTAAGGGAGTATACTAAAGCTATCCTCATTTTCCTTTTTATTTTTTTATTATTTTTGTGTGTGCATACCATCAAATTGGATCTTACTGGTACAGGAGGGGCCACTGGCCCTCCTTCTCCAGCAGAACATCTGGTGGATTAGAACTGCGTGCCTCTGGGATTGCAGTGCAGCTGTTTGCCACTAGGCCACCAGAGTTCCCTATGTTATCTTCATTTTAATCAGGTTATCACCAGTATAATCAGTTTACTTGCCAAAGATCAGAGCTGTTGCATCACACCACAGGCCTTCATGGTAAGAAGCCCACAGTGGTGACTCTCATGACATGGAGGCAGAGAAGTTCAGAGCAGTCAGAAAAGCGCCAGAAAAAAAGTCAAGGGAAGGTCTCTGGGTACTTACCAAGCCCCGAATGTGCATCACCATGATGAAGAGTTTATTGTTTTTGTAGGAGATGGACAGCTTCACCTCCCCACCCACCTTCTCAATGGGCCGGGCCCAGGAGCCATCTACAGGGACAAAAGAAGGGGAGAAAGCTTGCATAAGGCCCCTTTCTGGTAGCAGGCAGATGTTTCTATTACCCTTCTGACCCTTTGTCCCCACATCCCTTGTCCAGTTCATCCAGGAATGGGGGCTTCCTGATACACTATTGAACAGAGTCCGAGAACATAAAATGGCATTAGGTTGGGATAGGTCTATCTATTTTGAGTCTAGGTCTAATTATCTAAGTCTAATTTGAGCGTATAATCAGTAACTGGGGTATCCAACTCCTAGGGAGCCTGAGCCTGAATGAGAAATCAGGTTTCCTAGTCAGTACGGAGAGGAATTAGACAAGTCAAAGAAAGAGAATTGGGGGGAAAGTGGGGGAGAAGAGGGGAGAAGCTACTCATGGGAATGGCTCTCTGGGTGTGGCAGGAACGTCACAGAGAAGGAACTGTACCCGAAGACTTGGGAGCTGGGCTGGTGCCTGCAGACTTCTCATCCCGCGGCAGTGGGTGGAGGAAGGTGTACACCAAATCACACTAGAACCAAGGAGAAAGCAGAGTCATTCTTCAACAGGCAACAGTACAATTTAAAAAAGGGAAGAGGTGGGAGGAGAATAAGTTCTTCTAGATTTAAAAAGAAGAAATGTTAACAACCAAGTATACAACTGTTTGCATTCTAGCTTAAAGAAAAAAAAATACAAAGACATTTCAAGGATAATTGGAAAAATTTGCATATATAATATGGATAGGGTGACATGGTGGCCCTCTATGTAGTGAGGCTGACACAGTGACTGGGGTAGGTCAGAGACAGTGAGATTGGCTAAGGACAGAGCAGATTTCTGAGTTACTATGCCCATGTTGTTGTTGATTGGCATCAAGTTGAGCATGACTCATAGCGACCCTATGAACAAAAGGCCTGAAGCCTTTCTATAACTATCAACATTTATCTATGTTCATAGAGTTTCCAGAGGCATGTTGTTTAGGAAGTGGATGCCACTCCTGCTTTCTGCTGTATGAGTATTCTCCCTAAAACCCAGCACTTTCAGTTTCAGTCTCCTGGAGCCATTCATAGGGTCACTCATTATATTGTTCTTTCTACTTTTCTGTAGGTTTGCAAGTTCATACAAAAATGAAGCTCTTACACACACACACACACACACACACACACACACAAACACACACACACTTAAACACAGAGGAAAATTTTCACCAATTTTAGACACAAATCATGAGTCCTTCTTTTGACAGTGTCTCCTAAGTAATCTGTAAAGCAAAACAAAGCACCTAAATACATAAAAATATTCACTCTAGCATGAACAGGGAGCTCTGATAGCCAAGTGGGTAAGGCATTGTGCTGTCAACCCAAAGGCAGGTGGTTCGCATCCACCAGCTGTTCCACAGAGAAATATGGGCCATCTCCTTTGTGCAATTTACAGCTGGTGGGTCAGCTCTGAGTCTGTTCCCATTCAAGGACAGGGAGACTGAGAGAATTTAGTACAGTTATCTCAGTTATGACAGTGTATACTAAAGACGCTGAGTAGGACAAAACAATATCCCATTCTATTTCTGCTATGACTGTGGTTTTGGGGATTGCAGTGTCACTAGATCATCAGAGTTCCCTGACTGTAGTTTTTGATAGGTGCTATCAAACGGATTTTTGACTCAGAGTGATCCCTCTTAGACTGAGGAAAGAGGGCCAAAGAGAAGAATGAAGAATTCAGAACTCAAATGCTGATGGCCTTGCTTGTTGCAGATAAGAAGACAGGCCTTGCCTGTCCTAAGCTAGCAGGTGGCTCGTAAATCAGAATGGAATGTCCCTCCCTAAAGACTCTGTTTATAAAAATCCTTCCCAGTAAGTTCACAGTGTGACTTCCCATTCTGCCTCTCCAGGATGAGGAACTCACCCGGGAGCTCCCATTTCCCCCCTTTAATAAAGCTGCATTAGGCTTTCTCTCGTTCTCTCTTCTTCTTTAAGTCCACTAACCTAACCTAACAATCCCATGTGGTGGCAATGAGTCAAATTAACATTAACCGTGGTACAGGGGGGAAAAAAAGAGAAGACCTAATTTAAAACATCTCTAAAGAAGCAAATCCTTAAGAAACTTAGGGAATTGAAAGTTAATATACCAGTAATTTAGTTCAAGGGAACTCTGGTAGCCTAGTGGTAAGAAGCTGTGCTGTAATCTCGAAAGCACATGGCTTGACTCCACCAGCTGCTCCCCGAGAGAAGGATGGGCAATCTCCTCTCATGTGATTAAACTGCCTCTGAAAACGTGCTGGAGGACCAGCCACAGATCGGTTCAGACTCAGCAGCAAACAACAACAACAATTTAAAGTTATGACTGTAGATACTAAGTAAAACAAAATAATAACTCATTTTATTTCACCTATGACTACAGTTGTGCTGTTTGAGTTGAAACTGACTCACAGCTGACCCTCTAGTGGGTTTTCAGAGGCTGTCAATTACACAGCTGATTGTCCATCTTTCTCCCCTGGGGCAGCTGTGAATTTCAACCATTTGCCTTTGGGTTGACAATCCAACTCCTTACCAATCGGCTACCAGAGCTCCCTGTGGTTGTTATGAGATGCTATCCCATGCATTTTTTAATTCATAGTGACCCTCAGACCAGGGTATAATCATCTTACAGTGTTTTCTAGGCTATAACGTTTGCAAGAAAAAATCACCAGGTCTTTCCTGGGCCCAGGAAGCCAGTGGATAGAGAGTTAACAGCCAACCTCTTCACCACTGCATGACCAAGCCTCTTGTGACTACTGTAACACTGTGACAGTCATCTTTATATGTTGACAAAGAAGTTGTTATTAGGTGCTGTCAAGTCTATTATAACTCATAGAAAGGGAACATGGACAATTTAAGTAGGTTGATGGGGTTCCTAATGACTATCTTGTTTTTAAGGGAGCTCTGGTGGTCTAGAGAGAAGCAGCTGCACTGCAATTCTGAAGGCAAGTTGTTCAAGGTCACCAGTAGCTCCTCAGAAGGATGGGCAATCTCTTCCCATTCGATTAACTGCCTCTGAAAACCTGCTGGAGGGTCAGCTATGGGTTGGTTCCAACTTGATGATACACAACATATTGTTTTTTATAACTTGCTAAAAACAAAAAAAAACCTAAGTGGATATACATTCACATTCAATCCATTCAAAACTCTTTTTCAATAATTTTTTCACTAAATTCTGACCATTGTAACCACGCTGGGATGGCATCTAATGAATAAATCTCTCTCCTTCGACTGGCTGCATGAAAGGTTCTGTTCAAGTGTGTTTGTATGTACAACGGACGGGATTATGTCTCCCAAAATTATGCTTTGGAAATCTTAAACTTTATGTTCATCGTTCTAATTCCAGCTGGGAATGGGATGTCTTTGTTATAACAGATGGTGTGTAGGCTGTATTTGAGTCCATTTCTTTTGAAACATAAAAGAGATTAATCAAGCAAGTAAGCAGAGATGGGGGTGACGGCAGGTGCCAAGTCACAGGAAGATCACCCAGGAGCAGAAGCTCAAAGACACAGAGGCAGTAGTCTACCTGTAGGGCCAGGGCCCTGAATTCAGACTTCTACACTGTGAGAAAATCAATTTCTGTGTGTGACAGTCCTTCAGTTGTGCTGTGTCTGGTATCACCGCAGCAGATAGCTAAGTCACTGTATTTGGCAACTCTGAGGCTGGAACTCCCGGTCTACCCTTCTCTTCCTCATCTTTCTCAGAATCCAGAATATTGGTCACTTCATCAACAAGTAGAGACAGAAGCACTATTTCTCTCTCAGCCTCCCAGCAGGCCAAAGCCTTCTGCTTCCACACACCCCAGCCCAGTGAGGAATAGATATAGCGGGAGGAGTTGACCCACCTCGGCCACCTCCGGGGCTGCGTGGATCAGGTGCCAGATGTAGCCATTCAGCTCCTCCCTTCGCCGCTCAGCCACAGCCTCTCCCCAGGAGCGGCCAATCACGAAGCGACTGGGGAAGCTGGAATGGGGGGGCGGGCAGTGGTGAAGCCGGAAGGGGGGAGATGGGGGGGAAAGGAGGTCAGAAGGCAACTGACTTATCAAATTTCATTTGTATTTTTAGTCACCAAACCCAAATTTCCCAAAGGTCTCCCTTCTCCGAGACTGTCACCTTGGCCCCTTGTTGAGCCCCCTCCACTGTCCCCACCAGCTCTGTGCCAACAACACATGTGCTCAGCATCTCATGCCAGACAAGAAAACCAAAATGTGTGCCCCCCAAACCGATGGGGCTTCAGAGCATCCTAATTTTCCAATTAGATTGACTTTAGCAATGGGAAAACTAGTTTGAAAAAAAACCCCTTTTACTCTTTTAAGAAATAGAAGCATCAATTCAGTCAATCCCCCTTGTCTTTCTGATGAATTTGCTTTCCTTCTGACGGGTGGGCGCAACCTCATTTTCAAGGCTGGAGGCCTCTCAGGAGCCCTGATGGTGCAGTGGTAGGTGTTTGTGCTAACCAAAGGGTCACTGAACCGAACCCATCGGCTCCTCTGAGGAAGAAAGATAGGGCAATCTGCTTCCATAAAAGATTTACAGCCTTAGAAACTTTCTGAGTATTTCCACTCTGTCCTTCAGGGTCTTTAGCAATCTGGAATCAGCAGTGGGTTTGTGACTAAAAGTGTCAGCGGATCTGGGCCAGCAGGGGGAGCATTTCTCAGCAAACTCAGGCCAAGTTAAAGCTAGAGCTTTTAAGGAATGGTTTCCATGCCCACAGTCCTTCCACCCACCACTCCATCTCCCTCCCGGCACTCCTCGGTGCAGAGCCTAACGGGGAGCTACCTGGGCAGCAGAGAAGAAGGGAAGAGCAGCCGCAGCTTGTTGTGCAGTTCCTGGAACTCCTCAAATGTCCTCTGGATGTAGGTGGCCTCCTGAACGTTCTCACGCATCACCTTGACCACGTATATCTGCAAAGACCCTACTGTTAGAGTGGAACAGCCCAGCCCTCAGCACCCAGTGAAGGGAGCAGGGAACAGTGAGGGAGGGAGGGACAGTCCTTTTCCAGAAGAAAGAGAACAAGAGTGCCCTTGTGGAGGTAAGGACGGTGGCTCCTCTAGGCAAAAGTCTGAGAGCAAAGTTCTCCTTAGACAGGACTCTTGACTCTGAAGAAATCACTGTCCAATCCTGGCCCCTGATTCTAGACAGGTCACCCAAGGAGGTGACAGAGAAGCAATCCGGGAACACTCCCTGTAGGATGCTCTGATATGTTCGTGTTTATTGCACAGGGTATTAACGAACCTCCAGAATTCCAACCATGTAGGGTCAGTGGGCATTGATTCTTCTGTCATTTTTAGGCATTGTCCAGCTCTCTGATGCACAACAAATACTTATAAAGACCATGGCCTGGACAACGACTAAGAATGATAGAAGAATTGATGCCTTTGAGTTGTGGTGCAGGAGAAGAGTATTGAATATACCATGGACTGCTAAGAGAACAAACAGGTCCATCCTGGAGAGCTAAAATCAAGTTTGTCCCTGGAGGCAAGGATTCTGAAGCTCCATTCTGAGATACTTTGGGCATGTTGCAAGGAGGGACAGTCTGTAGAGAGGGACATCAGGCATCAAAGGGTGGAGGGACAGAGTGTTGGGGGTAGCTGTGGCAGAGACAATGAAATTGGCTCAGGATAGAGCAGGGTTCAGGGCTGTTGTACACAGGTCGCTATGCATCAGAGTCGACTCGATGGCACATAACACAAACAACAACAGGGTCAGTGGGAGGGAGCTCTGGTAGCCTAGAAGTAAGAAACTGCATTGCAATCCTGAAAGCACACAGTTTGAATCCACCAGCTGCTCTGCAGGGGAAGAATGGGCAATCTCCTGTGTGTGACTAACTGCCTCTGAAAACCCACCTGAGACAGTCAGCTATGGGTCAGTTCCAGCTTGATGGGGCACAACAACAGGGTCAGTGGGAGCAAGAGGAAGTAGAAAGGGAGAAGACACTTACATAGCCCTTGCTGGGGTGAAAGACCTTCTCATGGCGACAGAGGAAAACATCACTGATGCGGCCAGAGCTCTTGAGGGTATATGTCCGGGGAGCAAAGGAAAGGGTCAGTCTATCATCTGAGCCTGTGAACTTCATCTGCGCCAGGTTATGGATAAAGAAATTGAGCTTTGTAGCTACACTGCCCAGGCTGGACTCAATCAACCTGTGGGTACACAGAGAGGGGAAGCGAGGCTATCACTATGGATCCAGGCCCCCAGTGGCTCGATGGACCTGTCATAAATCTAATCCTTTTCATTATGAAGACTCCTCATAGAGGGCATGACTGACCCACAATTATCTACCTGTGATTGACTGAAGTCTTATCTTCCCCTTGTCCGTGGCCTGCCTGAATCAGATAGTCAACAGGAGGCAGGAAGAAATTAGGGAACCCAAAGTAGTGATCTTGTGCAAATGTGCTAACCTCGTTCTCAAACCCATTTCCAGAGTTGTTTAGTTCAAAGGAATCTCACAAGGACGACACTTTGATTCAAAAGAAGTTCTCTGGGAACTTCAACTTGACTGCACACACCAGCTGCATACTCAGCTATGCAAGCCGAAACCAAAAGGAGTTTCCATGTTAGACTCAAAAAAAGAAAGTTTAGTTCGCTAAGTTCCCAAACCAGTGCAGGTCATTGGAAGTATTTAATAAGTGGTAGGTAGCACCTTAACAAATTAAGCTGCATAGGAAGGGTCTCCTGGTATATTTGGTAAGTATAGAAGCTCTTCAAGCGTTAAACTAGAGTTGACATTTTCTTTCATTTCTTTTCTATGTAAAAAAAAATCCACTCTTATAATATCTGTAACAAATGGTTCATTTGTCTTGTTACTCTTTAGAGCTTTCAGATGAAGCATTGTACCTTTTTGAGGTACAAAAAAAAGAAATTAAAATGCTGCAGATCTGGATATGTACATATTTAGTAGATACTTGAAAGATATAAGTATTATTTATAACAAAAGCATTGCGCTTAATCTTATTAAGTTAATGTTCTTAGCAACTTATATACATTTTTGGAGGTATAAGCTAAAAAATAATGAAAGCATTGCATCATGTGGCTGTTGTATAAATTATGTACTTTGATGCCTGAATCAGAATTTTTATATAATTCATGATTATTGATTTATTATAATTAAAAGCTTACTTACTTCAATTGTCATAATTTTTCATTGCAGATAAAGCAGTATTACAATAATGCATAAAAAAAAAGGTAACACTCCAAAAACAGTGCAGGACAAAGTGGAGGTGTCACCTATAATAGATGACATTCTAGGCATCAGTACAAAGATGAATCCCTGTACTCATATTGAAAGTTTGTTGCTGAAGAATATGGAACATGGAAAAACTGAACCAGGGTATTTTGTGTTTTGACAAGGGTGGTAAGCTTGATTCCAGAGGGCAAAATACTATGACCAAATCCATATTATACCTGGTCCTTGTCATATAGATCTTTGGCTGGGATCTGGTAAAAATGCAAATAAAAGTCCGTTTGTTGTCCCTCTGTATACAAAAGTTAGCACTAAAATGGACCTTGGAAACTGAGGCAGGGAAAGGAAAGGGATTCTCCTACGCCTGACGGAAAGGGGATACAACAGATTCACGTTATTGACTCTAAGCCATCACCTTAGCCTCTCCCAGTCCCTGGTCCTGTTCCTCCCAACGAGACAGCCTGGATTTGGCACAGAGTGGATGGTGCTCTGTGCAGTGTTACCTAGTGAAGTAGGTGGTGGCATTGGCCTCTGTGTCCTGAGGCCTCAGGGCATCGTACACATACTTGAGGTCCTCCAGGTCTGAGAGCTCAGGGATCCCACAGGACAGCATCTGGGGGGAGTGGAAGGAAGGAGACATAGCTTCTGTAACAAGGACTTCTTGCTGCTTTGCCATCATAAGGGGCCTCTGGTGGCTTAGTGGGTAAGGAGTTGTACTGCCAACCCAAAGGCAGGCGGTTCATATTCACCAGCTGCTCTGCAGAAGGAGATGGGATATTTCCTCTAGGGTGATTTACAGCCTCTGAAAACTCACTGGAGGGCCAGTTTGGAGTTTCTACTGACTTGACAGCAATGAGTGTGAGGTTTGGAATTTGTTTTGGTTTTTTATTGTGTGCGTGTGTGTTTTTTTTTTCCAGTCTCCATCATAAGGCAAGATTCTCTATAGCTAGGTTCCCTGACTCTTCTGGAAGGGTGGTAGATGTTTTTGATTTGTACTGTCAAAGCAGATCTGACTGGCACAGGAGGAGATTGCCCCTCTTTCTACAGCAGAGCGTCTGGTGGATTCAAACCGTGCTTCTTCATTATTATAGTACAGCTTCTTGCCACTAGGCCACCAGAGCTCCCGAAAGGGTGGTAGATGGATGCTGTGCAAAGTTCTGGAGGCCCCACGGGTTAAGGGGCTGCAGCTGGTAGTCTGACATGTCCAGGTACCCTAGGGATGTGCTCATCTGGGGTTAGAGAAGTGGGCCTCCAGAAATCCTTTGAAGCAAGCCAGAGGAGACTTAAGGATGCTGTTGGGAGATAAGAAGAAGGGGTTCAACCGAGGATGGGGCTCCTCACCAGGCCCAGAAGGTTGAGGAAGAGGTGGGTGTGCTTGCGAATGAGGTTGTAGGCTTGGCAGCAAAGGTCAACAAAGTCGTGGAAACGGCTGGATGGCTTGTCACCCCCATTGATGACGTACGCCATGTCTGACGTGAAGACAAAGGGGGCTCGGTCCCTGGGCCGGGGGAGACATACAGACAGAAGGTTAACAGGAGGAGGCGGTTCCCTGTGGACTGCATCAGAGGGTGGCTTCCTTTACCCCTTCTACAGACCTGCGTAGACGGGGCCCTCCCTAGCCCTTCTCTTTTCCCTTCCCTTAATCTTAGAAGACTTAAAAGACTTGCTACCTATTTGAGCTAAACAATTAATAGGGATGACAGAGGAAGAATTGATGCCTTTGAGCTGTGGTGTTGCAGAAGAGTACTGAACATCCCATGGACGGTCAAGAGGACAAATACATCTTAGAGAAAGTGCAGCCAGAGTGCCCCGAGGAGGCAAAGATGACAAAGCTTCATCTCACATGGTTCAGGCATGTTGCTAGGAGAGGCTATATCTTGGAGAGGGACATCATACTAGAAAAGGCAGAGGGTCGGCAAAGGAGAGGAAGACCCTCAACCAGGTGGATTGTCACAGTGACTGGTGCGATGGGTTCTAGTGTGTACAGAAGTGTGAGGCTGGCACAGGATAGGACAGGGTTCAGATCTGTTGCTCATAGGGTCGCTATGGGTTGTACTTGATGTGACAGCACCTAATAACAACAATCTTAAAAGATTATCAGTAACACATTCTTCACTGGTTCCCTGTCTGTGCATGACCAATATTTTGTCCCAAATATCTAACTGTATTCCCTTTGGCTGTAGTTTGGGTTCATTCTTCTTTGTTCAACCTCAGAAGGGAAGGAGATCAAGTAGTCTCCAGTTTCTTTTGCACAGCCCTGTAAGATTTGACCTCTTATCCAAAGCTGGTCAACCCAGGGTCCACGCTTACGTATCCCCACAGCCTAGGAGGTTTTCCAATTCTGAACCATCCCATCCTCCATGACCTGGTCCCTCTACCCACATGTTCTGAGTCGCAGAGACCACTTACCGCTTAATGTTGCCAAACATCTGGGCGTGTCCCAGGAAGCGGCCAAAATCTATGTGGAACATGTGGCCAGTGGTCTTCAGCATGATGTTATCATTGTGTCGGTCACAGATGCCCAAGACGTACGTGGCCACGCAGCAGCCAGCACAGGAGTAGATGAAGTTCTCCACAGCCTGGAGGGAGGAAGGCAGATGGAGGAGAGGATGCATCGCTGCCTGGGAATGACTCCAGGAGCCACACCAGCCAGCTCTAACCTCTCTCCTGTGAGCTCCAAAAGCACCTCACATAGTGTGTCACAGAGCGCCTGCTCAAACTTCATCACCCACTGATCCACACATTTGCATGCAGGAATGTCTTATGCAGCTATTTGCATGAAGGTATGTTCTATGCAGAATGAAGAGAAAGAAGGCATTTTTGTTTATCTACTTCTCTTTTGCCCCTTTTTTGTCTTAGGAAGGCTAGCTGATAAGACAGTGGATTAACCCAAGGGTATGGACATTTTCAAAAACAGAACTACTTTATGATCCAGCAATCTTCTTGCAAGGCATATACCCTACAGATTGAATACCAAGGCACAATCAGACAGATGTACACATATGTTCACTGCAGCAAAAAGCAAAAGGAGGGAAACAAGCTAAGTGAGTATCGGCGGGTGGAGTAGATAAACAAATGTGGTAAAAACATACAATGGAATGCTGTGAAGCCATAATGAATATTGAGGAATTCTCAAAATATAACATGGATGAACATTGTGCTGAGTTAAATACATCAACCACGAAAGGACCAATCCTGTGTAAACCCACTCTTATCAAAAGACAAGTTGTTGTTTGCCTTCTAGTTGAGCATGACTCATAAAAAGGCCTGAAGCCCCTCTGCAACCACCCACACTTATCAAAGTTCATAGAGTTTATGGAGGCATGTTGTTTAGGAAGTGGATGCCACTCCTGCTTCCAAAATAGACAAGTATACATGTGGAAACCAATGTTCACTGGTGGTTTTCAAGGATGGAGTGAGAGGGAGGAGAAATCATTCTTTAGATTGTAAATAGAGGAAGTTTGCTATTTGGGGGATGAAAAATATATGAGCAAATGAGGATGATGTATACACAGCTGGATTAAGGTAAATGACATCATTAAGAAGTATGCAAGACAGGGATGTTTTTGGTAAATGCTAAGACCTATATAACTCTGGACATAGCCCTTTGGTGGGGTAGCATAGTACGTTAGGTGTTGAATATGTTGGGCTATTTACCAAAAAGTCAGCAGCTCTAATCCACCAGCCACTCCAAGGTCAGCAGTTCTAGTCCACCAGCCACTCTGTGGGCTATCTTTATCTTCCCATAAAGATTCACAGCCTTTGACACCAAGGGTTGGGATTGACTCCACAGCAGTGGGTAGGTGAGTGCAACAATTTAATAGGAATGTGTGTTTGTCGTATCCGAGTCTGTATACACGATCAACCAGCATTTCCGGATCCTGCTCAGAATTCTCTTGCCTTTCTTCTCCTTGCCCCAAATAAAAAGCCCATTCTCAGAGTTCTTGCTAACAGCTAACTGCTAATCTAATTAAAGTCACTTCACTCCCAAGAAGAGCTGAGGCAGTTTAACACTTCTGAGGAATATTTTACACTTGAAAATCAGATAACTCTAGTTAGTAAAATGTGTTAGAGTTATTTTGAAGTTTCAAGTAGAGGGCGAGGGATCCACTAAAGTGGAAACTAGATCATTCTAGCTGGTCAACATCTGTCCAGGAAGTAAAAGCACAAGGAACCAGCACCACCATGTACTTTTTAGAACTCTCAAGAACTCATTAGCAGAGGGCCAACGGCTGTTGTTAGGTGTCATCAAGTGGACTACACCTCACAGCAATCCTATAAACAATGGATCTGAACCTTCCCCTCACTTGTGCCGTCCTCATCATGTAGAAATGCATAAAATTAAGAATGGGGAAAAGCTTTACAGATGTGGAACAAACAGCTACGCTGTCTTCTCTTCCCATTTCCACCCATTCTTCAAGGATGCTCTTAGTCTGGAAGCGCCACTAAAACCTGTTCAGGATCAAAGCAACATACATGACTTTGCTGACAGCCGGGAGGTGGCTGTACATGTCACACACGGGCTGGGAATCAAACCCGGGTCACCTGCACAGCTGGTGAGAATTCTGCCACTGATGCCCGTTTCCCGGGTTTATGCCTCCTGCTAAGGAGCCGCACTGCCAACCCAAATGCACACGCTTCTAATCCACCAGCTGCTCTAAGGAGAAAGATGAGTAACCTCTTCCTGTGGGTAGATTTACTAAATGATATGATGACACATAACAACAATAAGCGTCCTAAGCAACATGCCTCTGGAAACTCTATGAACTTTGATAAATGACAACAGTTACAGAAAAGCTTCAGGCCTTTTGTTCACAGGGTCTCTATGAGTCGTGCTCGACTCGACAGTAATCAACAACAACAGCAACAACAATAACACATCCCAAATAGATTATAAGCCCTATTGTGGGCTTCCTAAGCAGCTTTGGTGGTGCAGGGCATTGTGCCACTACATGGTGTGCTGCTAACAAAAAGGTCAACAGTTCTAATCCACCAGCCACTCTGTGAGAGAAAGATGGGCAGTCCCCTACCGTAAAAGATTTACAGCCTTGAAGCTCTGGTCACCTAGTGGTAAAAAGCTGTGCTGCAATCTCAAAGGCATGCAGTTCAAATCCACCAGCTGCTCTTTGGGACAAAGATGGACAATCTCCTCTCATGTGATCTACAAAATGCATACAACCCACCGGAATGTCAGCTATGGGTCAATCAGTTCCTACTCGCACACAACAGCAATGTCAAGTAAACAAACTTAAAAAAAAGATTTATAGCCTTGGGAATTGGATGGAGAATCACGAGTCACAATGAAAGAGAAAGTCTATAAAGATATCACAGACTTCACAAAAGAGAAATGCATACAGGAATGAAAAAAAAAAACAAACAACAAAACAAAACCCATCCATCTCATTCAGGCAGTACAAGTCCTCAAGTCTCAGTCCTGACCTTCTCCTCAAGCATATGATGTCCCAGCTCCTCTTTCTTCTTTAAATGCACCCTACTTTGGTGCACCCAATAGCTGCGTGCCTGTGGGAAAATGACTAAATTCTTACCACCTGACTAAGTTCTGTGGTGTTAGCTTCCTACAGACAGGAAGTATCGTATAAAGGGCATGCCCTTGATTTAAGGACCTTCACGTGAGTTATGCAGATGATGCAACCCTGCTTGCTGAAACTGAGGAGGACCTGAAGCACTGGCTGCAGAAGGTCAAGGACTGCAGCCTCCAATATGGATTGAGGCTCAATGTCAAGAAGACAAAGATTCTCACCACTGG